TTGGTATCGCATAAGATTTCATGGCGATAATATTTTGTTAATAATATTTCATGGACAATAGTAATTATAGGTGGTGGTGATGAAGCGAAAATATGAAAGGGCGTATAGAGTGGATTAGGAGCAAGATCCTTCACTTTCATCGTGGATCTCCAAAGCTAAAGATGCAGATTGTTTAACTGCAAATTGACACCCAGCTTTCCGCTTTAAAGGAGCATGCCGCTACTAGTAAACATCAAAAAATATGAGTGGATTCAGCATGCGAAAGAATATTCTCTCAAATAAATTTAATTAAGACAAAAACACAAAACATTCAAAAACAACAGTCTATATTATATATCAACAACAGTCTAGATCATTCCACGTTAAAGTTCCAAGTGAATGCAATGCAATCACTGAGCATAGCGATTGCATTGCATTCAAACCAACGAAAGATATATTTAATTTAATTTAATAAAAATATAGCATTTAAATGTGTATTTTTACTTTTCATTTAATAGAATGGTAAATAAAGTTGTCAGTATTTAGGCATTTTTCACTACAGACATTGGAAGGATTTGGCAGGTTTTTAATCAAAGTAAGGCAGGATCTGTATTATAAAGATGGTCACACTGTTGGCGTCTGTCGAATGTATTATTAATTATTTTCTTTTAAGCATGGGCGATTTCAAATTTTGGCTGCAACGGTTACATAACTGATATTTAGTTTTCATATCGTTATTGAAAACCGTTTTCAAATATCGATATCAGTAGTAATGGTTTACAACCGAAACATAACTTAAAATCAGAGGTATGAAAATCCTCAGTAGCTTGCTTTACGTTGATACTAGTTCCATCTCACAGTAAAAGTACTATTTTTCCCGATATTTTTACATAATCTATTAAAAGATGGCGCCACTGTGGGTATTTATTATTTATACTAAATCATGCTAGAAAAGTTTTGAAATACGCCGGTATATATATATGCAAAATACAAACAAATATTACAAATAAATGCACAAACGCAACGTTAAAAATTAATAATTTTACAGATAGATACATAGTGAACGGCACACGCCACCAATGACAAGTGCGTAATTGTTACGTTTGAATAAAAAATCAAATTCTAACTTTCACATAAACAAAAGTTGCCTAAACCAAATATAATGTGATGAAACAAATCTAAGTCTAGTGCCTAATGTCCTAAAGATCATTTTAATCTGACAACTCTCACAATTACACAAACTTAAAAAAATTAGGCAATTTTAACCATTTAAAATTCGACCTTATTGTTAAGCCTCTTATAATTATATTTCACTACGTGCACCGTTTTATGATAACCAAAACATCGCAACGAAATCCATATTCGCTTCATCTCTTTCATACATATTTATGATACTGTCGCTAGAACGAGAAACAACGAATATCAAAGGACATCGTTTGTTTTGGTTTTGGGCCGTTTTCGGTTGTTGGCATATCGTTACAGTTTGCGTTTTACGTTTCGTACGTTGGTTGGTTGATTTTGGGTTTTGGTTGGATATGTGATAACGGTTATGTTCTTAGGTTTATCGATATGATAAGATATTTGATATGATAAATTATTAGTTACGTTTTGATATATCGGTCTCATGCCTATTTTCTTGTGATGAATGTTTTTTATAAAAATCACAAACTATATAGAAACACTACGCGTTCAGACGGACGTCTCTGGTACATCATAGATAAATATATATGTAGCAAGCTATGGTACATTTAGTTTGGACCGTAGAGCAAATCAGAACATGACATTTCGTTCTTTTTTAAATATGAATTGGATATAGGCAAGGGAATAATTTTATTTCAGCCTAGTATAATTATTATAATTAGATATATATATATATATATATATATATATATATATATATATATCGCTGCCGTAGAAGTGAAATCGAATAACTAGCACTTTTTTCAAAATCAACTTTATTGCATTTTATTAAAGTTTAAAGTAGGCCGCATCTTTTGATCTTATCCTCGCTTTGATATCTCATTTAGTTCCAAAGATTTATTTAAAAGTAAGGTTTTGTAACAGAAATGAACATTTAATAATGGAAGTATAAATTGAGAAGAACAATTGAATAACTGACAAATAAATGATTAACTTTCTAGAAACACATCATTATGGTCTCAGGTATAATGCATAATGAGCGTTAATCAGTTTCACCCCAACGCAAATATTAGAAAACCGAAAAATATATTATGTGAAAAAAGGACACTGTACATATCATTTTTTGTCTATTTCACAAATTTGATAATAAAATATTGAATTTCAATCATACATTTATACTTCAGTTGTTAATTTTTTCAGAACACTCAACTACATTATTTTCGTTTATTTAATTTTGACATTAATGAACGAATTTAATATATTATTTAATTAATAAATTTAAATATTCTTAATAATCTTGATTGCTTCTTTAAATATTCTTAATAATAGACAATTGTTTTAAAATTGCCGTGAATCGCTATTACACCCACGATGTAAGGCCATCATTGAGGCGAAGGGCCCGAGCAGCGGGGCGAGCGCTGGCGCCGCGACACTTTGAACTTGCTCACTTCGGACTTCGGACTTCTTGTTCATCACGAGCGGCAGTGTACAAAACGCTCGCTGTAAAAGCTCTTCTAGTGAGACTGATGATGAATCTCATATTAAAAGAATCACTTAAAACGCTAGAAGTAACGCTAATCTAGCGGCAAGTTCTTAAAGACGTTAGACTCGATGGAAAAGGAAACACTATTTTTAATAATCACAAGGTCGCTGAAACAACAGCCTATGAAACAGGCTATGAGGAACTGAGGGACAAAAAAGAACAGAGAGAGAATGGAGAACCGAGAGAAAATGAAAAAGCTAGGGAAAAGGAAGAAAATAAAGAAGCTAGAGAGAATGAAGAAGGTAGAAAAAATGAAGAAGCTAGAGAAAACGAAGACACTAGAGTGAAAAAAGAACCGAGACAGATACAAAATACACAGACGAAAAAAATTGTAAGATGGAAAAGCAGTAACAAATCGGAGTGGAAAAGGGTAAAAGAACAAAAAAGAAACGTCAATGTTTGCAATATGAAAATAGTAAAGGAAAAGTGTTAGCGCCCAAATTACCAAAATCTCCAAAATGTGGTGTTTTTTGCCGAAATAAATACACAGAACTATTTTAGAAACAGCGCGTTTACATTTATGTAAGAAGTATTGGGTTATCGATGACTTTCGCTTACAAAAAGAGTACTTGCTGAAGCGCATCATAGTTAAACCAGTTGCTAGACCTATTAAGAACTTGCCGCTAGATAAGCAACGATCTTTAAGTAGAGAGTTTGGGTTTTACAAGGACAATAAACTTATGAAAGTTTGTAAAAGCTTTTTCACTACTACAATGTGTATTTCAAATGGTCCAATTGAAACGGCAATCAAAAATATCAATGAAAATGGATCATTTCTGGGCAATGACTCTCGAGGCAAAAGAAAACCTGCAAATAAGACTCCAGAAGACAAAGTTAAAGAAATAAAAGAACACATCGAAAGTTTTCCAAAAAAGGATTCTCATTACTGTCGAAAAGATACAACACGACAATACTTAAGTGAAAACCTATCTATAAGTAAAATGTATGAACTATATGAGAGCAAAATGAAAAATGAAAACAAAATACCAGTGAAAAATAACGTATATAAATTTTTTTTTGGGACAGAGTATAATTTAGCTTTTTTCCATGACATGATTGATGTAAAAGCTTTAGCATCCCAAATACTGGTAAACAAAACGGTTTGCTCCGACGGAAGCAAATCCAATTGGCTAAAAATTAAATGCCTCCGATTCGAAAAGGCTCTACCTGGAGTAGTTTAATTCCGGTATGACTATGAGGGACCATATTTATTGATGGACACAAGTTCAAAAACATGTAAAACTAGGCAGACAAGAAACAGGGCAACTACAGTATTAGATATTTCTAGATTAAGCTTAGAAAAGGCATACAAACAAGTTCTACCTATTTCAGAAGCGAAAAAAAAGGATCTGATAAACTTGTGTAAAAAAATAAATTATACCAGTTGAGCTGCACCCATGGTATGAAAGCTTGCCATCAACAAGTCAGTCAGTTATTAGCTCCGATTCAGAATAAGTGAAGAAATTGAGAATAAATAACTAAGTCCAAGGAGTTAACCTAAAGCTAAAGTGCAGTTGATATTTATAGTTTATTTAGTTATTTAAGGGTTTTACTTAAACGTTACAGCAGAATGTTTAGAAAATGATTATTTTTAATAAACATTCGGCTTCTTTAATTTCTTTTATTTGTTTAACAAAGAATTTGATGTTACTTTTTTTTTTAATTAAAACAATATACTGATTTCACTAACTTTCAAGTGTTTAATTTTATTTAAAGTAATAAGTAGTAATTCTCAAGCATGTAACCAAAGATTTTTTATTTTGGCATATCCAAAAAAAGTAGACAAAAGTTTTTAATAAATTATTATTGCAGTGTAATAATTGAATAATGTTACTTATCATGTCGATTTTCAACCTGATGTTCTTTCAACTAACGGGCAAAACTGAACAACTTACACAATAAAGCAGATAACTACATGTTAATTCCGAAAATTCGGTAAAACAAAATTAGATAACTTCTTAATGCTATTTCAAATATTTAGGTAACATGGTATGGGTTTTACAATAAACACAAAAGATACACAATGAACCATTTATTAACATAAAAAAAACCGACAGTAAATATGTTTACAGTAAAATATTTATATCGGTTTTTATTAAAAAAAAAACACTAAATCAGCTTTTTCTCGTAAAAATGGTTTTGTTAGTTATCTAATTTCGCTTCTACGCCAGCGATATGTATTTACCTATATAATATTATTATATTTATAATTTTAATTACTATTTTTATTATTATTATTTTATTATGAAGGATTCGTAGAAATAAAATGCATTGTATATATTATTTATTATATGATTTATTTTTTTAACTTTTTTAAACTTGTACAAGGTTTTTTTTTGGATTGGTGGCAATGTACACTTTTCGATTCTAATGATGTCCATGCCTTTCAGAAACCCATGTGTGGTACATACTATAGAGTGAACATATAATTCCTCCTTTGCTGCTTGCACTTGAATATTTTCAGTGAAAAGGTTCTCTTCAATACATTCGATATCCAGTGTATTGAGCTGGAAAAAGGAATATTTAAATATATAAATTACAAGTTTAATATGCACATATTAAACTTGTTGCTCATTGTAATTGTTGTTGTTTATAAATGTTAGCATAGAAAATGTCAAGACAAGAAGAGGCCATTGTAATCAGATAAAGTTACTTTCACATAAATCTAAGAAGCTTTCACAATTATACAGAAATTTCCAATAATTTTTGAACATAATTATCATTGATACCTAAGATAATTAAGTAACGTGGTGGCGCCGGTAATGGACATGGCACCAATAATGGACGAAAAAAACTTATCAACTTTATAATAAGGGTAGAAATGGTTTTCTAGAAATGGCAGCACTTTAGACATAGACAGCCAACATCCCTCTGTCATATTGACAGAGAAAATTAATTTCGGCCATTTTGTTTCAAAATGGCGAGTTGAAGAAATTGTGCTCTGGAGTTTTTCAAATTTTATCCGGATTTCTTAAAGGAATCGTTAAGCAGGTTAGTCATTGTTTTTGTTCACAATGTCCTTTTTTAGATAGATATATGGACACGCTTTGATTTTATGTTTATCTTATAGTATTAGGCATATATTCGAGAAAGAGGTTATGTCACTCGATAATTTAAAAGTATTTTAGGGGGGGTGTCCATTACTGGATCCATTAATGGACATAAAACACATTTATGGACACGTGTCCATGGTTATTTAATTGTACTGAAGAGTAAATTATAAATAGTATTACCTCTTGAACATCGCCTGATATCATATGTCTTTAAAAAATAATAATCAAAGCACGTTTACCAATAATGGACACCATGTTATAATTGTATGGTTTTTTGCAATTCATAAGCGCGTGTTACCTTTATTTTTAGTTATATGTATACCTACAGATACATCTTCACACGACCTAGGACCACGCGCTCGTAGATTGTAAGAACTATCTAATTTGATTTCTTGTTTGGTTAGATGGCGCCTAAAAAAGATTATAAGCCTGAACAAATGGCTCACGCCATTGAGGCAGTGCGAAAGGAAGGACAATCAGTATCTGCAGCAGCTAAGCGATTTGGAGTGCCGAGAATTACTCTCCACAATAAAATCTTCGGTAAGAGCCCCATGGTATGCACTATGGGGCCTAGTACAGTCTTGACAACAGTAGAAGAAGATTTGCCTGTGAAATGGGCAATAGCAAGTGCCGAAAGACGATTTCCTATCACTAGAGAACAACTTTTAGATAGCGTCCAGCGAATAGTTACGGTGCAACGTAAATCTACTCCTTTTACAGCAAACAGGCCAGGGAAGAAATGGTTTTCTTCTTTTATTAAAAGACATCCGATATTAGCAGAAAGAACGGCCGAAAACCTCAGTGCAGCACGCAATGAAGTGACAGAAGAGCAAATAAACAACTGGTTCAAAGAAGTGGATGAATATTTGGCCGAAAAGGGATTGCTTGAAGCTCTGAAAGAGCCAAGCCGAGTTTTTAATGCAGATGAGAGCGCCTTTTTTCTTGCGCCAAAACCTGGACGAGTGCTTGTTAGACGAGGGGAAAAGCATGTTTATGCGGCAAGTGGCGATGAAAAAGAAAATTTAACCGTCTTGTTGACTGCAAATGCTGCGGGTACACTAGCACCACCCATGATTGTTTTCGCCTATGATCGAGTCCCGGACAGAATTTCTAGCAGTGTGCCAGGAGAATGGGGCATAGGAAAGTCGGAGACCGGTTGGATGACTGGTGAGACCTTCTACGAGTTTGTGACTACAATTTTTAATCCTTGGCTGATTGTAAAAGGCATCCAGAAACCAATTTTGTTTTTTGTGGATGGTCATAGATCGCATCTTACACTTCATCTGTCCAAGTTCTGCTCTGAAAATGACATAGAAATTATAGCCTTGTACCCTAACTCGACCCACATTCTGCAGCCTATGGACATATCTCTTTTCAGACCGCTGAAAGTATATTATCGTAAAGCAGTTATCCAGTGGAAAATGGAAAATTCGGGAAACAAGTTGAAAAAGGAAAACTTTGCTCCCGTCTTTCAAAAAGCGTTAAAGAATATAACGACGGACTGCATTAAAAATGGATTTAGGGGCGGTGGTCTGCATCCATATGGTCCACAATATATTGATATGTCAAAACTCACAAAGCGGAATACTGTTTCTGATCTAGCAAATGAAAACCAAAATGAAGAAAGAAGCCATTTTTTACAATTTTTAGAAACCGAAATTACAAAACATTTTGGTCAAGAAAAGTTAGACCTATTTAACAGTCTTTATTATGAAGGAAGAAATGTTCTCGAAAACATGGCATTAGATGAAGATTTGAATCTCTATATAGTGTGGGCACACAACAAGCAAATGTCAATTTCGCTAGAATCTAGTTCCGCACCTGCTGTATTAAATAGGGAATCTTCACCGACTTCAGATAACGTATTATATAATAACACGTGTATTATGCAAGAAAATGTTATGCCAACAGACTTCGATGACAACGGCAAAGTAAGCAGTGCACTTGATCTCATAGCACCGTCAACCAGTGCACTAGATGGTGTCTCTGAAACAGTGGCATTCATACCAACGCCAAATACGCCATCAAAAGTTGATGAAGCCATATCTGATGCGAAATCCCATAATGATACAACAAGCGATATTCTGGGTAGCACAGTGCCATCAGTGTCAGAAATGCCGTCTCAAGAGACTGAAAAAATACCTATCGAAGACACAAGGGTAACGATAGGTAGTACAGTGACTTCTTCAATCGAAATTACAACGTCAGATACGTTAGCCAGGGTTGATGGATCCCTTTCTTTGGCTGCAAAAACTCCTGCAAAAAACACAATAAGTAATGCGCTAGGTGTCACAGTTCCATCGCCATTCAAAAAATGTCTTTTCTGGCCTGACAATGAAAGTACTAAGAAAACTAAGAAGAAAAAAGAAAAATTACCATCAGCTGTAACGAGCAAAGCATGGCAAGAATACCATGAAAAAAAAGCCGCCGAAAAAAAAAGAATTTTAGAAGAAAAGGAATTGAAAGCTAAGCAGAGAATCGAGAAAAAAAATATCAAAGAAAAACTTGCCAAGGAAAAGAAGGGTAAAACAAAATCTAAAAAACCAAAGATGCCTGAAATATCATCATCTGAAGATACAGAAGCTGAAATAGAATATATTGAAAGTGGCGAAAGCGAATGGAACGAAGAGACTGAATCGAATACCTATCAAGGAGAAATACTGGAAAAACAAAATGAACGTAAAGCAATGGATAAAAAGAAGATTTCAGTACAAAGGAAGAGAAAACGATCTATTACGGAAGATAGTAATTCTGAATCAGAGTTGCCTTTGACTCAAATAGCACATTCTAATAAAGTTAAAAATGCTAAAAAGGATATCAACAAGGGTTCTTTTGTCATCATTATGTATGAGGGTGAATATTTCCCCGGAAAGATTGAAAATAAGGAACGAGGTCTCTTTGAAATAAGTACAATGGTACTTTCTAATGGGAACACTTTTAGGTGGCCAGAAAGGCCAGATAAAATTTGGTATAAAACTACTGATATAGTCGAAGTTATAAATCCTCCTATCAAACATAATAACAGAGGCTTTTACAAAGTACCAGAAATGGAGAAGTTTTTGCCTGACATTTATATGACCTAGATTTTAAGACTGTGGATTTAAAGATTTTTATTTCATTTATTTTTTAGTCTATTGTTTGATGGGAATTTTGCCTAACATATAAATGTCCTGGATTTTGAGACTTATTAGAATAAGATTTTTCTATTTATATTTAGTGTATATTTTTTAACCCGTTTTTCTAATTAATGGGTAAAACAGGGTTAAATTTGATCTCTCAAGTTGTGATTATTAAATAAGGTGGTTATTATAAAGAAAAAGAATAAAGACTGTGTAGTATGTAAGAGTAGACACCTAAGTTGTTAACTGCTCTTTTGAGACTTCTATTTACAAGAATACCTCAAGCTTTTTTTGACCCTAATAAGTAAAATGTTTCTGCTGTAGTTGCTTTAACTTGATTTGTTATTTTGATTTGTGATAAATAAATAATAGTACTTTTTAATTTGCAAAACTGTTTTTTATAAAGTTGAGGTTTCCTTCTTATATTTGTTAATAAACTTTAAAATTTTTCAAAGAATTTCATTTTAAACTGGTGAATTTAATAACCTTCCAACATTGGGTGTCCATCATGGGATACATGTCCAACATTGAGTATCCATCACTGGAGAAGTGCCGTCCATAAATGGAGTTTTTGTGCCTTTTTGAGTTTTTCTTTATTTCATCAGAAACAATAACACTATATAAATTATATATGTACGTGTAATAAAGCATGTTTATTGGTCTACAATTTGATAATAGTCATAACATTGTATCTTTGCAAATAGATGAATAGTGATTAAAAATGTAAGACCAAATTCTTAAACTGTCCATAATTGGTGCCTTCACGTTACATTGTAGCAATTTTTGATAGAAGGTTGGGAGGATAAAAGTATATTTTGTAAAGTAGCCAATTATCTATTGGAGTCTATGTTCATGTTCTACTGCTGGGCACAGACTGTCTCATTTCTCAGAGGGGTATGAAACAATGAGTTGGGCAAGGTGCTTATAGGTAAACTACATCTTTAAAATATTTTTATTCCTTAGACACACAGATTTCGTCACAATGTTCCAGAACATGATAAATTAGCACCGTGAAACCGGCCATCATTGCCCTTAGCGGATATCTTTGCCCGAACACGAAAAATAACTTAAATCTTGAATTGTAAATAAATTTACACAGCTGACAACATTTTTCAATATTTAGCGTAAATTAGAATATTTTTTTGGCAACACTAGATGCTCGTGACGTTACAAAGTTCACTCAGTTGTCGGTAAGACATGTCGGAAGTAGGACTAGTGTGAGGTGGTGCAAAAATCTTGTTTTACTTTTTTTCACACTGTCAGCGTACGACATCTCTCAGGTAAGTTATTTTAAGTTTAGTGTTACAATAAGTGCTACGCTTCATTTCTATGCTA